AATTACCATGTGACTGAGCAGTCCTATCCTTAGGTATGTATTCAAAAGAAGTGAAAGCGGGGACACAAACAGAAACCTGTACACCAATGTTCACTGCAGTACTGTCCAAAATAACAAAGATGGAAACAGATTAAATGCCCATCAACAGATGAATGAATAAACAAAATGTGATATACATACATAAAACAGAGTATTAGTCATAAAAAGAAATGAAGTTCTGATACATGCTACAACACGCATGAATCTAGAAAACATTATGCTGAGTTAAATGTGAGATACAAAACATTGACAAATATTGTGTAGTTCCACTTATATGCAATAGGCAAATGTATAGAGACCAAAGTTGATTAGTATTTACCAGGTATGGAAGGGAAAGGGCAGAGTTTCTGTTAATGGTGGCTAAATAAATTGGAAACGGAGGTGGTCACGGTTGTGTAACATGGTAGATGTGAGCAATGTCACTGACCTGTACATATTAACAAGGCAGTGCCCAAAACTTTTTCTTTTTTAATGTGAGATACATCAAGAGTAGTATCTTTTGTGAAAGAATTCTTGATAAGGAAATGCTCTTATTTTTTCATCATCCATAAAAATTGGCTGGTAGGAAACTACAAAACAAGTCAGCACAGTCACTTCAAATTCTCTACAGACAATAGGTCCAAAATGGACCTTCCTCCAAAGCCTTCTTGACCATCTTCCTATTACCTCTACTTCCCATGTCATAATACTCACCACACATCATGGTTGGTACTTATTTCACGTCTGCCTTCCCCCCAACATTATAAATATCATGAATACAAGGACCATCTGCCATATTTAACTACCATAGCCGTGGTACCCTGCACAGTGTTTGGTATGGAACAATGTTTAACATTGCTGAATTAAATGTTTAAAGAAAATAGGATAAAACATTATTTTCTGATCTCTTTTACATGCCCTTGCTTTTACCAGATTATTTAGAACTCAACACCATGGTGGTACCAATAGACCATGGCCTGGTCCACAGAGATTCAAGAGAAACAAAACTGGTTGGAATTAGGAGGGGCACAATCAGGGCTAGGGCTTAGACAAATACTTGCAGTTCCAAGTTAAAAGAAACCCATTGGAGTCTACTTAATTGCAAATGGACATATCCAGCAGGAGAGGGAGGTCTTTTTTTTAACTCACAGGCAAAAGCTAAGCCAGGCTTCTTGGGGTTAAGAGGAAATCATCAAGCTTCATAGGCTTGGCTCTCTCCCTGGGAAGCCAGTCTTTCCTCTTGGGTTCCTGTTTCTTTTTCTGCAGATGACCTTTCACTGTTGCCTCAGGCACACAATCACCTCACAGATCTGTAGTTTGCATGTCTGCTCTCAAAGGAACCACAGCATAGGCAGAGAATAACATCTCCTACTCCAAATTCTAAATCCTAGGAAAATTAGATTGGCCCAGAGCTGTTTGCTCTCCAGGCTCTGTCCTACAGAAGCAGGGAACACTTCTCAGAAAAGGCTGGGTATAAAGACACCACCCCAAAAAACAGTGGCTGTGTTTTCGATCATGTCTGCTGTTCATCTTTCTCTGGTCTTTGCTTCTCTGAGTTCACTTCACCTTTTGGGCTGACTCCCTGCCATCCAACATCACCTTTGCTATTTATCTTTTCTCATCTAACATCTTCTCAAAGCCACAAAACAGCTACTCTCCTTCCCCGAATATGACATTCTGGGAAGGAGAGTAGCTGTGACATTCTGGGAATGTCAAAAGGTAGCCATTTTATCAGTACATAGGGCATTTTCGTTTTCTTCTGTATTTGGGATCTATTTATTGTATACTGCTATAAACACACAATAAGATTCTATCTTCCTTGGGTTGTCAATATTACAGCCTTTGAATATACTGAATCTTTTTACTTATTTAGTAACTAATACCACATAACACTATATTACCCTAGACAAATCTGCAAAAGACCTCTTTAAAAGTGTTAAGAAGCAAAGATGTCACTTTGGAGACTAAGGTGTGCCTAAACCAAGCCATGGTATTTTCAATCGCCTCATATGCATATCAAAGCTGGACAATGAGTAAAGAAGACCAAAGAAGAGTTGATGCCTCTGTATTGCAGTGTAGGCAAATACTGAAAACACCACAGACTGCCAGAAGAACAAACAAATCTGTCTTGGAAGAAGTGTAGTCGTAATGTTCCTTAGAAGCAAGAACGGCCAGACTTTATCTCACCTACTTTGGTCATTTTGTCAGAAGGCACCATCCCCTGGAGAAGGATATCAAAGCCAAGTAAAGGGTCAGCGAAAGAGAGGAAGCCCTTCAATGAGATGTATTGAGACAATGGCTGCAATGATGGGCTCAAGCAGCAAGGATTGTGAGGATAGTGCAGGACCGAGCAGTGTTTTGTTCAGTTGGACACAGTGCTGCCATGAGTTGGAGCCAACTCAATGACACTTACCACCACAACCACATAACTGATATTTAAAGATAATACTGAGTAACCTCTTTACAAACACCTTTCATTAGAAGGATTACAGAACAATCTCCTTGGAAATGCAAATCTATTTCTATATCTCTGAGAGAAAAGGAGCTATGTGGCACAGTGTTAAAACATTTGGCTGCCAACTGAAAGGTCGTTGGTTCGCGCTCACCAGCTACTCTGTGGGAGAAAGATGAGGCAGTTTGCTTTCATACAGATTTACAACCTTAGAAACCCTATGGGGCAGTTCTGCTCCGTTTCATACAGTTGCTATGAGTTGGAACTGATTTGATGGCAGCGGGTAACTGACAGAAAACGTAGCTCATTTTCTTAAGCAGTAAGATTCTGCCTTTCTCAAATTAAACAAAGCATAAATTCTTGTTCAGAAATCAGCTACTATGTCATCTGAATGCACAATATTCCTAGGTATATGAAAGTCCATTCTGACCAACTCTTAAGAACACAGGTTTTGTTTGTTTTATTTTTAACTCTTTATGACAGCAAAACCAACTAACAATGAAAGATAAAGGAAATCACTTTGACCACACGTACCTTGTTCACATGCAAATCCCTGGCACTTAGCACAGTGGCCTTCACAGAGTAAGGGCTCAGTAAATCTTCAATGGACTAGAACGTGTACTTACATCCATGCTTTCACAGATCAATATAATATATATGCAAGAGGCTTTACATGTGCTTATATAACCACAGGAACACAGATCACCATGTTGACTATAATGTCATAAAATAATCTGCTCAACATTTAATGTACATTCAGGTTGCCTAGGGATCTTGTTAAAATACCAATTTCTGATCCAGTAGTTCTAAACCCAACATTTGTATTTCTAAAAAGTTTCAGATGATGATGAAGCTGATCACTGAAAGTAGCAAAGTAATTCTTTTCTTAGACCCTGTGGTAGAAAACCACAGGGAAAATATGGAAATGATTATACAGTCCTCCTTCTCAGAGTTCATGTTTAATCATTAGAACAGTGAATTGTATATGTTCTCAGAAACTCACCTTCATTATTAGACTCCATCCACTCCTTTCATAAGTATTTACTAAGCATCTATGCCAGGTGCATGAGCTATAGCAGCCTTCAGGCATTCTTATATATAGCTTATTAATAAATGATGAAAAATGCAAACTAGAGGCTTGTCTGTGATATCCAAATGAAGGGAACACTAAAGAATGACACCAAAATGTATGCATATATGTGTATGGGGAAGGGGTGGGCAAGCAATTGTTTAGCATCCTGTGTCTTTCATGAGGCTTCTATGAATGCTCATCTCAAGAAGATTCCTTGCTGCCACTCCCAAGCCCCCATCATGCTACCCAAGTCTTCCTCTCTTCTGTCTGTCATGCCTTAGTCATGGAAGCTGTAGGTCTTTGGGGTCAACTTCAACATGCTAGAGTATACCTACTGTGATCAAGTCAACTACAACTCATAGTGATCCTATGGGACAGAGGAGAGCTACCCCAAAGGGTTCCCAAGGCTATAAATCTTTATGGAAGTAGAGTGCCTCATGTTCCTCCCAAGGAACAGCTGGTGTGTTCAAACTGCTGATCTTCTGGTTAGCAGCCAAGAATTTTAACCATTGCACCACCAGGGCTCCTTTGCTAGAGTACAGTCCTTCCTTATCGCTCAGTTAGATACTGTTCAAGTTTGATTTAAAAAAAAAAGATCAAAGATAAGGTTAGTTTCTTTACTTAAAATCAAGGGAAAAAAATCAGAATTCTTTTCCTTTTCCATTTACTTAAGCCCTCACCACTGCCATGTCTTAAAAGGAAAGTTCTCTTTGGACCTAGGCCATATAATGGTGTTCTGTGGTGGCAGAACAGGTAAGGGGAGCATATAAGTACTCAGAATGACAAGAAGTTTCTTCTCCATGTGTCTTTTGAATACTGTGGTAAAAAGATGCAGAATGTCTTGAATTTGGACAAATGACATAAAAATAATATAAGAACAAATTTACGTCACAAATGTAATCACTGGACAAAATTTTGAATTGTCTAAGGAAGTACTTTGGGGGAGCTCTGGTAGCATAGTGGCTAAGACACTTCCCTGCTAACCAGACGGCTGGCGGTTCAAACCCACCAGCCACTCCTCGGAAGGAAGGTTGGGCAATCCTACTTCCGTAGTGATACTGCCTCGGAAACCCAAGGAGGGGTCGCTATGAGTCGGGTTTGACTCGATGGCACATAGCAACAACAAAAACAACAAGGAAGTACTTTACTAAAAAGTTAAACAAAAAGTTGGGAAAGAGAGAGAGACTGCTGTAATCAGAGTGCCTATGTGCTGTGACCCTTCTGTTATTTATCTTATTCAAGAACTAGGAATATATAGCCTATTTCAGAACAATTTTCTTATTTTACATACCGAGAGCTTTAGAAAATCCAAAAGGATTTAATACAGTACTTTCCATTATAATGATAATACCATTCCTCAGTTTTCCCTATTCAAGAAGAAAATACAGAGAAGGCAATCTGGGAAGATAGGGAAGGTGGGGTGTATATTTGGTTTAAGATAAGGATCCAAATACTTACAAGGCATTGCATGGTATATGCTTGGCCAATACTGTCCACTGTCTCTCTTTAACCAGACACGAACTGTCCTACAACAGAAGAAAACATATATATTAAATCACAGTATTTTCAGTCACAAGAAACTATGGAAACAAAGAAAGAAAATCTTTTAATTACATATATGCATCTGACATATGCTTCTCTAAATACCATCCTAAAGATGTATATATACATAGACACATACTGCGGTGTAGTAAATTACTTAGTGTGACTTTTCTACCCATAAGTCTTTGTAAACTCCAAGGTGGGAATTGCTATTAGCAACTGAGGAGATCCTGATTGCTAAAGTCGCCCACCTGGAGTATTTCTGTTGGGAGTGGCACAAAAGAATGTTCTGGGAGGTTCCCACTCTCTCTCAGGTGCTTAGAGTTATGATGCTGTGACTGGCTAGTTTGACCATCTTGCCAAGCTCAAAAGGAGGCCTCCTAGAGGCAGAACTCTCTCTGACTGCTGGTGGAGGAAGACGTGCTGCCGAAAGAGACATGTGCTGCTGGGAAAGAGATGCAAGAGACACGCATTGCTGAGTGAGACACCGAGGGTCCAGCACTGCTGGGAAAGAGATTGTGAGAGGCTGTTGGCTGAGGGACGGTGGGCTGGGAGAGAGACTGAGCGTTCTTCCTGAACTTGAGTTGTAGCCTGGTGCCTCCCTAATAAACCCCATAATCCGTGAGTTCTGTGTGGCCACTGCAGCGAATTATCGAACCCAGGAGAGAGGTGGTGGGTGCTCTGGGAGGAACGGTTGATGAAAGGGCTGGAGGGAGGCAGCATGTCTGGCCTTGCAGTAATAGGACTTGGGTTACTGCTGGTAATCCTGTCTTCCTCTTGTGGGATTACAGGAGGTCAGAACATATGGCCTCCTTGCCGTTTTTGCACATACCTAATAGTGAGAGTATTCTAAGAAGTAGTGTTATTGTTGTTTTTAGTATCCATCTGCCTGCAGAGATATTAGATTTGACTAGTGAAAGAACTGCAAATAGTTCAAATGAATATGTAGCATCTGACACACACAGACAGAATCCACAGCACATCCAGCGTTGCAAGTCAGGCTCTGAGAGTGTTTTCCAAGCATGGTTAGGCAAGGAGAAGCTCCAAGACTAAGATTTCCTGAGCCAGTGGGCCTGCCATGTGGTTCCTCCATAGAAGATCCTGCAGCAAAGGCTGCGAGTGAAGTTCCACGGCAGGAACTCATGAGAAATGTTCAAGCATCAGCAAAGGGAAGTGGTACCGCTTTCACCCGTGACCAGTGTGAGGCCCTAAGTGATAAAGAATGCCTGCATTCAGATCACAGCGGGCCATGAGAGAGCACCTGCTTTTCGGCTGGAGCATATGTGTAGCCCCGTTATGGTACCACTCAAAAACAATTCTTCCATGAAGCCTTTTCTAGTTATCTCCTTTCCACCTCCTGTCCCTTCAAGTAGAACAGTCCTTCCTTATTCTGTGTGCCTCAAAACAAAAACAAACTCACCGCCGTGGAATCGTTTCCCACTCACAGCAACCCCTCCTTGGGTTTCCAAGGTGGTATCTCTATGGAAGCCGATTGCCCAATTGTCCTTCTGAGGAGTGGCTGGTGGGTTTGAATGCCAGCCTTCTGATTAGCAGTCAAATGCCTTAGGCACCCAAGGCAATATTTTAATTCACTGCCTTCCTTTAGGTATTTACATGTTTTTCTCACTAACGGACATATGGGGTCTCCGTGAGTTAGAATCAATTCCACAGCAACTAACAAAAACATGTTAGCTCATTCTATGTAGGGAACCTGCACCTTTTTTTCTTTAACCACCTATCCTCACTGAATCAGTGAATAAATATTTGTTGAAATTAATCATCACTCTGTCTCAAGTTTTTTTAAAAATAATATATGTCAATATACCACTTTAATACTGAGATTACTATCCAATAAGAATCCACATAAATTTTGCTTGGAGTTGAAGCAGCCATATTTGATCATGAGGCAACAAGCCTGAAGATATATACGTCATCATGCTGAAGACAGCCAAGATGAAGAACAGAAAGAGCCTGGCCGCAATAACACTGTTGAGCCACCAACCCTTTAAGATTACTTTCAGACTATTTTGTGAGATGATTTACTTTCTTTATTGCTTAAGGTATTGTGAGACGGATCTTATTACATTAACTAATAAAAAAGGTTAGGGTAAGAAATGTCATAGATTACTTCTAGGTTTTAGGTCTATCCAAGTGAGATGAGGTACACTGGAAAAGGACTAGATTTAAGGTGAATCATGAGTTCTTTTTGAACGTTTGAATCTGGAATGTCTTTGAGATACTCAAGAGTTCCTAATTAGTGAAAAATGAACATAATAGTTAGACACTATTTCATAAAGGCACGGGATGGGGCAGTGTTTTGTTTTGCTGTGCACAGGGTCGCTATGAGTTGGGCATGACTTGACGGCACCTAGCAACAACAGTAACATTTCATAAAGGTTATTGAGAGGATTAAATGTAAGGTTCTTGACACAGTATCTGCTACATGGCAACCACTCAACAAATGCCAACAATTATTATCACCATCATCACTAGAGTTTAAAAATGGATTAATCAACCATAACCCGGGAGAGTCCAAGATTTACAACCTTTCCTTCTCTGCTAACAGAGTGAAAATTATAATCCTTGACATAAGGGATTTCATACTCAGTCTACAAAGGTATCCTGTAAATAACTTATTCATTCTTTTATGCATTGTTTTAACATGTACTGAGCACCTACTAGGAGTTTCTGGGTGGCACACATGGTTAAGAACTGACTGCTAGTCAAAAAGTCGGTGGGTCTGAACGTACTCAGAGGCTTCCCCAGAAGAAAAACCTGGCCATCTGCTTCTGCAGGTCACAGCCCTGAAAACCGATGGAGCACTATTCTACTCTGCACACATGGGGCCATCAGGAGTCAACTCAATGGTACCTAACTACTGCAAGCATACCTACTATGGGCCAGGCATTGTGCAAGAGCTCCATCTGGACAGACAAGGAAACATATAATCACAATGGCCCATGATAAGAGCTGGAAGCTATTTTATATCCACGTAAGGCCATGAAGGAAAAGCATCTAATTCACGTGGGGCAGGTATGGTGGATTCAAGGTTTCCAAGGAGGGCCTGACTCTTGAGAGATGATGGCATTATCTATTATATAACTTCATTTATTTCCTAGGCATTTAACCACAGTCTGTTATTTGATCTACCTCTCTGTAAATATGTTTATTATCCGTTTCTTTTGCTAGAAAATAAGCTACATGATGATAAACACATACTCTTCTTGCTCACTAAAGCTCTGGTGATGCAGTGGTTAAAGCACTTGGCTGTTGACCAAAAGTTGATAGCTCAGACCCACAAGCTGCTCTGCTGGAGAAAAATGTGGCAGTCAGCTTCTGTAAATATTTATAGCCTTGGAAACTCTATGGGGCAGTTCTACTCTGTTCTATAGGGTCACCCTAATTTGGAAGCAACTTGACAGCAACAAGTTTTAGTTTTAGTGTCGACTCAGAGTCTGGCAGAGTTCATGGCACATGGTAGATATATGATAAGTATTTGTGGGATGAGTGAAAGTAGTTGGATGTGACAGAAACAGCTGGCTGCCTACCCCAAATTCATTTTCCTCTTCTTCCCCAACATTAGTTATACTGACATGAAAGGGATGAGCATAGCACATAAGCCAATAAACAGAAAGCAAAAGTCTCAGTCTAGGTATGATCTCTGGCAGAGTTTATATGCTATGGATCTTAGTGGAAGCAACCAGATAGAAGTCCACTGGGCTTTGGAGGAACTGTTTTGCCAACAAAATCCCAAGTCTAATCTCCAAACCATCTTACAAGGCAGACACAATGATTATCCCTGTTTTACAGATAAGGGCTCTGAGGCACAGAGAGAGCCACAATTTGCATCCAGGCAGTCTAACTTCAGAGGCTACACTCTCAAACTACTTCACTATACAGAACCACTTCCCTAATATGGGAGCAAAGTCACAAAGAATTTCGTTTTAAGACCTACTGAATTTAAAATACCTGTAGGTTATCTGAGTGGAGATTACAAGTGGAGTAGCATCTTCCATGAGGATTAGAGCTAAAGTCAGCACCTAAACTATGTGCACATAGCATGTTATGCTATTGTAATGGTAACTGAAACAAAGTCTATGGTCTTTCAAACTTATAAATGATAAGGTATTAATTACACACCCACTCATCAACTGGTTAGGTTCCAAAGACCAGATTATTATGTGAAACCGGCATGATTTGAGAGTTGTGGGCCACACCCCATCTTTGGCACCAGTGTCACCTCCCGCCAGTTGCTCACCACCCATTAGGTGTCCCTGGCATATCCTGGGATGCAAGTGACATGGTAGGCCTTCTTTCCCCATGACATTTTCCCTACCACCACAGAGACCACGAACATGGGGCGGGGGGCTGAGTATTACTCACGGCCTGCCAACTCCCACCGCCCACACTGAGTAGGGACCTTGTTCGTCCTCCATCTGTCCCAGCCCTACACCCTCACATGGTTCCCTCTTCCTTCTCCTTTCACCCTGCCCCACCAACCTCCCCAGCACCTTTGGGCTCTCACTTGACTTTCTCTACCCACTCACAACCCTCTATCATCTTGCCATTGCCTCATGCACTCTGTCGCCAGACCAAGATGTCACAGATGAACAGGAAAAGGTGTCCACAGCCAGCCAGCCATCATCCCTCATGTGGCAAAGTCATCACCAGGGTCTCCAGTATATCGTTTAGGGTGGCCTACAGAGGGTGCCGCAGGCCCAGGTCTGCATGGTACCCGGACCACTGGAGGCCTGCCTCAGAAATTTTTCAAAGTTGTTGTAAATGTGAAATGTCAAATAATGAGATAGTCAATTAAGTGAGGAGTAGGTTATATATTTAAATAACCCAAAACTCCAAACCAAACTCACCGACATTGAATTGATCCCAACTCATAGCAACCTCTCCTTGGATTTCTGAGGCAGTATCACTACGGAAGGAGCTCTGGTAGCATAGTGCCTAAGGCACTTGACTGCTAACCAGAAGG